ACACTGCTTTCCTAACTTAGGATGGTATAACTGAGCCTCTGGTTAGGAGACTAGAAATCTCCAGGAGTTCAGCACCAAATAATGTTCAGCAAAACAAATTTTAAAACATAATGTGTTCCTCAGAGAGATGTTTATCTTCCTGTCATTTGAAAATCAGGGAGATTTAGATTTAATTTCATAAGATACTATTTTGTGTATTTATGGGGCTACAGTTCTCATCCATCTCATTCATTCCCTGCCCCTGTACCTTTATGAAATATTTAAAATATTTCTGTTCAGTTATGGGCTGCACATTGTGTCACAGCACTGCTTTGATATTTATACTCCACTGTAGAAATATATTTTTACACCTTGTTATTATGTCTTATTTCTCTTTACTGTTTTCTCCCCCAACTCCCAAATCACCTGTCTTCTGCAGTGAATTCTAGGTGTTAAAAATGACCCTACGTATGGATATGTATGGCTGAAACATTATGCTGTACATCAGAAATTAACACATTGTTGTAAACTGAACGTACTTCAATTTAAAAAAACCCTAAAGGTAATCTTTGATTTTTACTGTGTTGCTCTCATGAGAATTGTGCCGTTACCAGACCTTATATAAAATTGGAAATGTTAATTGACTGGAAATAAAATAATCAGCTTTACATCTTACTTCTGCCACTTGTTAGCTCTCTCATGTGATCTAACCTGTCTATCAACTTCCTAGTCTTAAAAATAATCCATTCCATTTGTTAGGGTTCTTGTAAAAGCTAGAGTCTCGCAATGCTTTTTTGTGAAATTTCACTTTTCACTGGAATAACAGTGTCTACTTTGGAAAGTCTTGGTGTGGATTAAATGCGATGACACAAGACCAGGGCAGTGCCTGGCGCACAGTAGGACCACAACACAGGCTATATCAGCTTTCACATCAGCTCTCTCTTCTCTAGTCTACTTCCTGCAGCATATCCAACAGATCATTTCTTTCTTTTAGGTTTCCTTTCAGGCTAACGGTGGACTGAAATAACTACAGATCAACGAAACTGACAGGGAAAAGGGGACAT